ATAATATATTTAAAATTAAGTTTATAAATTTTGAATGAATTTAAAAACAATTCGAAACCATTAGCAAAATATAACAAAAATGTGAAACAGAATAAGAATTGAATTTTCTCAAAATATGTAGAATTAATCAAAATTTGTTTTGACTTCTGAATAAAATAGATAAATGACGGAAATTCTTTCAATACGCAAATTGGGGAAATGAATCATCAAAGTATGAATACATTCTTATCTTAAAACCGGACAAGTCAGAATAAATGTATCACTATCTAATATATTTCATTACATCACGTAGCCACTTATTACTGATAAGTGTTAAAAATGGTTTCCAAATTATATTAAAATATATATATGTGTAATTATGTAAATTTAAGAAAAATATTGTAAAAACAAATGGCATTAAGATAATATTGTATGCAAGTAGAATCATCACAATATGACAAATTGCTCCTCGGTATTGGTACTTATTTTTTCCCCTCAAATTGTGTGAATATGATTCATTCCTACAAATGAACAAGAAGTAATTCCGGAACTTTAATAAAATCTACAACAAACCGCGTTAAATTAAACCACCCCAGACACATCAGGTATTCAAGAAGGCACGTGAGGGCCCCCTTGATTCAATTGATTGAATATAAGGTATAATAATCTATGATCGCTCTTGGGCACGCGAACTAATATATCCGCCTTGTTGCCACGTAATGCTAAGGGAAGCAAAATAAAAAATGGAAAAACGGGCACGCTTCCATTTTCTAAATCCTGAGCAAAAAATGCGGTTTAGTGTTATTTATGCACCCCTGATGAAATAAATCTAGCGAGGACATATAGAGCTTCTCAAAGTGGAGGAATAAAAATAATTTATGTTGCAATTCAACACATTCTAGATTAATTATAGCTATTTGATCTAGAAACATGTTATTGATAGTATAATTTTGAAATATACATTTTTATTTAATGAACAATTACCAATAATTGTAGAAATTATTAGATATCACAACTTTGCAATCCTCTTTTCAATTCCACCCCCTAGACTTCATAAAAAACCTTGTAAAATTGCATATATTACTCAAAAGCGAAATTTTTTTTTTGCTGAAATAATATTCATTTTTTTTGTAAATAATAGAAATGTAGTAACAATTCCAAATAATCACAAATTTAAGAGTCAAAAACACCCCAATTCCAATCATGAATTTAATTATTATATAAATAAGTTACATACTAATTTGAACAATTATTTCAACAAACATTTTTTAGTCAAATTTTAATTTTGAGAATTTCATCAGATCATAAAATACAGCACGCGTCGTCATTCGTACGACTAAGTCACCCTTATAAACTACCCCTCTGTATAAAATACAGCCTGTGCCGTAAAAACGTCCAATGAGCAAACGCGCACCTAACATTCTAAAAAAAGTACTTGATGAAAATGGATTCGGTGCGAAATCCTAATAGGATTTGATAAAATTAAACTGATTAAATTGTGTTTACGCAATCAACATGGAATCTGGCAATTACATCGATAACGATATTTTGTTTATATTTTTCTCAAGTTAATTTCTTATAGGATTCGAAATAATTAAAAACATCTCAAATTACGTAGAATATTATTTTCAAAAGTTTATTGCATGATGTCATTTAGGTATCCAGTTTCGATATTAGCATAGAAATTAAAAATGAAAACATTACGTTTGTTATTGAAATAATAATTGCACCTAAAATTGATCGTGCTTAAGTTAATGGAGTCTATAGAGCAATACTGATAACATTTTTACTTGGTGAAAATATGATCGTAAAATCAGGTTTGATTAAATTGGGGTTTATGTAATCAACATGGAATCTGGCTATTACAACGATAACGATATTTTTATTTATATTTTTCTCAAGTTAATTTCTGATTAAATTCGAAATAATTAAAAACATCTCAAATTACATATAATATTATTGCGAAAAGCTTATTGCATGATATAATTTAGGTATCAAGTTCCGATATAAAAACATTATTTCAATACGATTGTTTTTGAAATTAATTGCACCTAAAACAAATCGCGCTTAAGTTAATTAGTCATCCACCTCTCTGATGTCATAATGACGGAAACTATATTATTGCAATATCGATATCATTTTTCTTTAGGCGATGTAATTGTCCCAAACAAACCGCATTCACTAAAAATTTCCGAACAACACGTTCCGGATCCAAATAAAAACACAAGATTCTTTGGAAAAAATAATAAAAACAAAATATAATTACGACATTCAAAAGCTGCCGCTGTCGCCTCGGGAGCCGCATTCTGAAAAATATTCCGAAATTTACCGATAACTCCATATTTTAATGTGGAATATAGCAATTAAGCGATTTCATTGGAAAAGTACTCGTTATAATTAGATTTAGGAATCAGATAATTAATAAAAGTCTAAAAATAGATTAGTGGGAACAGAAATTTGCATAAAAGATAT